TACGTTTGTGATCCCGCAAAAGGGGTTATTGTGGCGTGGGTCATCAAACTGTACGACATCTTTAGATCAAAGGGGGGAGGGAAGAAACCTCTTACAGTGACGACTATATGTAACACGGTGGTACGGTTCAATACGTTTTAAACAGGAGTTTAGATTATGATTGTAGTTTTTTGCTTGTTATCAACAGAAGGATTGTTGTTGTGTGTTTAATGAACTTAATATTACCTTACGTTTCGGTTTAATCTACGCAGTAGAAGTCGTTTTACTACAATCGCAGTATACTTCTGTTCAAAAAGTATTGAATCGTACCACCGTGTTACATATAGCTGTCACTGTATGGCAAGTAATAATCAGATGTCGCTAAAAACGTGCAGACACAGTGATGCACTGTGACGCTGATTAGGTAATCAAGAGTTTGTTACCATTAGATAGGCCATCTAATAATCGAGCTCTTGATAAACTCTTGATTAGCTTTCACATGAAAAATTGCGTCATTTGACAAATACAGTTTTTAACTGATCACAAAAGCTATTATTTTTGTTTGATATGCCATTAATGACAATAATAAATCGTTTATCAGTGTCACAAACATTTTGTTTTGTACCATACAGTGATCCTAATACAAATGGTAATTCGAATCAAAATGACTATCCATCATCTAGGAAATTTAATTACTGCAAATATACTGTTTGTCCCAGGATCTATTTCAATCTACGAAATATTCAATACACCAATATTAGAAAATACTATATTGTATCAAGTTCATAATTTGCCAAGGTTTTTTGCAATTGATTATAAACGAAATACATCATTAATATGGGAATAATGTCACGAATAATTGTTATTCTGGAAAATTTACATTTTGACATTTTCTACCGACGATAGTACATAAAATTAACATCTATGTTTACAAAATATGTTTGTTCGAGAACAAATTAATATATTTCGTTTGTTGCTCGTTTGTTGCATTCCTCAGAAAAGTAGTTAATTGAACTTTGTTCCTATTGTCTAATTTTTCTAGGCAACTATTTTTTTGCTAAGTAGTTTTTATTAAATGCTAAGTTAATTTTTGTTAATTCCTACTTTAGTAAGCTTTATTTTTGTGTGCCTAGGGGGGATTATGGGGGAGATACATGGACAGCATGAGACTGCGCCGCTAAACCACATTTCTGCAAAAAATATAATTATTTTTAATAAATTACTAAGAAAAAAATAATTTTTACTTAGCATTTAAATGGGAGTCATTTTTCTGTAAGAGCCATTCAGATAAGCGACGACCAAGTACTGCAGAAGCTGCTCACTCGACTTTCTCCAAACTTGATTCCAATTACATAGGTCAAAAGTACAATCTATAGTAAGTTTTTCTGCCGCAAATCGCATCTGTACAACTCAAGTAGTATATTCAAGTTTTAAGAAAAGTTGCCATTTTCTTTGGTAGTGAATTAGGATTAATTAGCGTTTAATTGTGAATGAGTCATTTTCTAACGACCTGGCTTAGAGGCACGAAAATTTCAGCACAAATACAACTTGGATCAGGCTAGAAAATAGTGCAAGTCCGGACTCGAAAGATCGTTTTCTTATCAAGTTATAGATGGCGCTACTGCTACTACTCCACCATTCATTATCTCATGCGTAATCAGCTCAGTAAGGCTCAGACTTTTAGGGTAGATACTAGAAGGGTGTGATGAAAAAACGGCAAGCGGATTTCGCTCCGCTGACCTTGTTTGGTTGAGAATGAATAAAGACATAAAACAAAAAACGGCAAAATGAAAACGTATGCCTCCCACGAGGAACGCGATTTATTGAAGTTTTTCTGTAAAATTTTCCATTTTTTGCGTTTTTTCACTTACAATTTCTGTGATGATTTTTCAACAAAAATTTACCATGAAAATCTGTTTTTATAGGTTATATTTATTTATCCTGAATTCAATAGTATTGTTGGGAATAAGCTCTGATTTGATTCTGGAATGTAATGAAAGCTTTTTTAACGAAAGTCACCTAATCCTACGGGAAAGATCCACAATGTTATAGTTAAAAACGTATGATGTTTACAAGTCGAATCGATAATAAAAGAAGAGAAGAAAGAAAGTTATAGCCATGCAATGCGAAAATATTACCACTTTAAACGAAAGAATAACGATTCAATGCATATATTAGAAAAAGTTCAACGTAGCCATATTGTTCGAAGCCGTAGTACATACGCTCATTTGACGCTACATTTTTTTAACGTATCTACGATTGTATGATTCAGAAAGTAACTTCAGTCAATTTTTGCTCGATTGGATTTGTCCGGAGTACAATTGTGTTAGTGGATGACGGGATACACAAAAATTCGTGTGAAATAACGTAGATGAAAAACGTGTGACTTAAGAAATCTTAAGTCGTTACCCCTTATTTTATTTATGGTTAATTTTTCTGCAATTTAAACGTTTTACTGTACGGAGCAAAATATAGAAACTGGGCACCATCCCTGACTCTCACCGTGAAATATGAGTTTTTCGGTTTTAGTAAAAGTTGTCAAAAAACGATGTTTTCCTATTAAAAGTTGTACCACTTATTTATTAAGTTTGGCGAGAAAACAAAATCAGTATGATCAAACTTTGTCGAACTATGACCGATATGAGCGCTCATTGGGAACCAAATGACTATTAAGCACTACATTAACTAATTTTCTATATGTAACTACGATGAAGGTGTGATGGTGCAAAGACGTTGTAGATGTTATGGTGGTTATATCGACAGAGACAATCAGCAATGGTGACGATGACTGCTTTCTGGACTTTTACCGCTTTACACTTTTAGGGCAGCATGTCGCTTGTGCCCTTCAAATTCGTCGATCTTCTTGTGAATGGATTAGATCAACCAGTAAAACAAAAGAGATGAATAAAATCACCTTTTTTAGTACATATAATGACATTTCACCTTTGCAGAAAGCTACAAAAGTAAACTCTGCACTTTCTGCTTGCATCCTGTAGAACGACTGAAGTTGTGCAATCGCTGTGCCTACAGGTTTCTAGCGACATCTGATTATTACTTGCCATACAGTGACAGCTATATGTAACACGGTGGTACGATTCAATACTTTTTGAACAGAAGTATACTGCGATTGTAGTAAAACGACTTCTACTGCGTAGATTAAACCGAAACGTAAGGTAATATTAAGTTCATTAAACACACAACAACAATCCTTCTGTTGATAACAAGCAAAAAACTACAATCATAATCTAAACTCCTGTTTAAAACGTATTGAACCGTACCACCGTGTTACATATAGCTGTCACTGTATGGCAGGTAATAATCAGATGTCGCTAGAAACCTGTAGGCACAGTGATTGTACAACTTCAATCGTTCTACAGGATGCAAGTAGAAAGTGCACAGTTTACTTTTGTAGCTTTCTGCAAAGGTGAAATGTGTATTTTTCTGCTTGATATCACCAAGGCAAAAAAGACGCAATTTTTGGTTATTTATCTTTATCAGATAAATAACCCAAAAAATTGGATCGGTTTTGCTTGCGGCAGTCGAAGAACTGTTGCTGGATGTTTAATGAACTTAATATCACCCTACGTTCGGTTTAATGTACGCAATAGAAGTCATTTTACTTTTTTCTACTTGCCAATATCTGCTGATTTCTGCAAAATATGTTTTCGACAAATTTCAAAAGGCTTTTCACGGAGTTAAGACGTTATATGAAGAGTATTAATTAAGAAAGAAAGAAATACAATCGAAAACGAAAGTGGGAGTACCCAAATCCTTATCAATATAGCCTAGTGGGCTAAAACGTAGAACTTTAATACGTGATCGGCGGTTGGAGATACATTATACCCTATGTAGAGTTGATAACTCCCAATTAAATGACTACCTCTTCATTAGAGGTGGATTAGAAAAGTCGCCGGCGTGTGCGCTTTAATAGAGAGACTACTAAACATTTTTTCATGGACTGTGCTATTTACGATAAGTCTCGTAATTTTATGTTTGAGCAGCTGCGTATTGTTCTTAATGATAAACACATTACGTTGAAGCACATACTTTTGAAACATGAATCTATCCGAGCACTGGCTAAGCAGGACCTGATAGGAGTGTATACAACCACCCTCCAATTTATTGATACTACGGAAAGATTTAATCAGTCATGATATACTAAACCTTTATGAGCAGGACGTCACATGGATACAGCGGATCTCAAAATTCGATTCCCAATTTCTCTCTCTCTTCACCAACACTAGTGTAATCTCTCTTCTCTATATACTCATTTTGTTCCGGCATGTTCATCTAGAATCCGGCATACAATGGGATATCCCGAATTGCCGAATAAGTGTTTTTCTCTGGTAGTTGTACTTTTATTGTTTTTATTTTTATCTTACCATTATTTCGTGAATAAAAGGAAAACTGTTTATAAAAACAAAACGTAGAACTCTAGCCCTTGAAATGCTTTACGCGTATCAGCTTAATAGGAGTTTTTAACCCAAGTGAAATTTATCGATATAGTATATATTTATAGATATACTAAGCAATTAGTATATCTAGATAAGAAGCCTATCACAGCATTAAAATCATCTAATACGGTGGAATAGTGTCAAGTTCCAAATTTCCGTGGGAATTATAGTATTCAGAAGAATTATTGTAATCGCCTCTCACGCTTCAGCGTCATCCACCTCACTTAATTATCCGTTAACTCCACTTGATTAGATCCTAGTAGAGCCAGCGCTGGAATTGCATCTGGCAGTATGAAGTATAGTCAGTTCACTTTGTGTATGCTCTTAATTCTGCTAGATTCTCACCAAAAGTTTAACAATATTAACAATTTAACTCTGGTGCTAGGATTTTTTCATTTGTTCCCGATCCTACTAACAGTTTATTTTGTTCAGAGGAATGCTCATATGTATTAGTAAGATAATTTGCAACGACTTGCAATGAATTGAATATGCAGTTGTAGTGCCAGCATTCAATCAGAAATCAATCATTAATGTTCAGTGTGATCATTTATTCTAAATAACATTTTATTACATAACATTACAAAGTTTATTTTGTTGAATTTGTTGATAATGTTCTGGACAATGTGGATATCTTCCACCACGTACTCCTGGTAATTCCATTATATGCGACAAACATAATAAACGACTACAAGGTCTTCCATAAGATATTCCATAACTGCATTTATCAACAGCAGGGCTACCACAAACAGAACATGCATTCGCATGAGGTGGGACATTCATCGGCATAGCAGCCATATTATATGATTGCAGCTGCGGAGCACTTTGTAGTGAAATGTGTTGATTTGATGGTATTAATGTATACTGAACTGGTTGACCATTTGTATCTAATAAAGAAATTTGTCGAGGATGAGCAGCTGGATTGTAAGCAACTGTGAGAAATTGAGATTGAGCTGCAGCTGATTCTTGAGAAATTAAATTTGATTTAGGAGCGGCTGACTCAACAGCAATTGGATCAACAGTTGGGAGAAGAGTGGAGTCGGACATGGGTTAGTTATAATATACCTTAATTATGCGGTGGGACACAGTCGAAGTTGAGAACAAATGTCGTTGTCAGATGTATTACAGTAATATATCGAATTCTCACTTAATAATCTTATTTTTCAACTCCTTTTAGCTGCTCTACTTTTTCTTCCTTATTTATCCGACTACTGATAACAACATAGAAAAAGATGTTTTCTCTTGAATACTGTTGTTGGAGGGAGAAGAAAATGAATAATTGACTAAATAAAAAAGAAAATGAAGAGCAGTTAAAAAGAACGATAGAATTAGGTTACCGTTGCTGTTTCGAAGTGCTGCATAGATAAGGAAAGAGTAGAAAAGAGAGAAGAATTATCTTAAGCCCCTGCATGAACAATGGTAAAACTTTTCTTAAACATATGCTCATTATCATCCGACGCAAACCCCAATGACGCGATTAATATACAAGCTATATAATACTATATACTTTTGTCTCAACCATAAGTTAAACTTTGATGGTATTTTTAACTAACTTAATAGTTATCACAAACGTCAGTCTTTGTTTTCTATTCAAATACTGATCATAGATGCTAATTTAACTTTCACTCATATACATGAACTGTTCTTAACCATCATGACTTTCCGACTTTTTCTTCAAGTCATGGTAGTCAGAGTTAAAGTGCGTACCATATTTTCCACCAGGAAACATACCCAACTGTTACCTCTCTTTTTCAGCCAAACCCAGTAGGTTATAGGTAATCAACCACGCTGACCCCGAATATGAACGTCAGACCTTCCACTAGGCCTTCAAAGATCCGATTTACTGGAAAACCAGTTTTTAAGAAATTTAATAGCAATAGTTGAGCTTTATAACACACGTATTAACTCCGTTCTTGATTACCCTCCATGTGCCATATAGTGACTACATGGTCAATTGTGTCCCTTTGTGTGATTCGCGGAGTTCTTATGAAACTTGCGAAACATATTTAATTCACCAGAGGGCTTCTTCATCAACTAATATCACACAGCAATGCCAAAACATCTCTGTTGGCTACGAATAGAGGACATTTTGTTTCAAAATTTTTGACTTTTTCCTTTTTTCAAAATTATTCATTTTGTAGACTCGATATTTCAGTAACGAAGCAATGAAGAGAAATGTTCTTCTTACCAAGCGACAGTCCATGGAGTTTGCTACAGAAAAGGTTTTTATCGTTCCTCTATCCGATGCTTTCCTTAGTGTTCTACAAATGGTGACTCCAGTGACCAGGGGGGAGTAATGGATTAAGGCCCCCGCTTAGAAATGGTAATTTTCGGTCAAAACATCTGTTTGGGATAAGAACATGTGAAGATAGCCTACAGTGTCTACTTTCAAAATCTACATCGCTTTTGATTACAAAAATGGTTTTTCACGGATTTTGAGCAAGTTTTCTAGGTGCCTCGCAGTACATTCATTGTTCTTGTCATTATTTGATGTTTAAAGCACTCGTGTGTAGACTGAAACCGTTTTTTTTAATGAAAGAATCCTTAAACTATTGTGATGACAGGGGTGTTACTCATTTGAGAGATGTCTACTTGTACTATTTCTCGCACCAATTTATGTCAGCTATTCGCGCTCGCATCCCAAGCGTTGTCTCAAAGATAACGTCCTTGCGTATGAGAAAAAATTGTGGTTCGACTGGGACGTGATATCAAACAAGAACTGACTTGGAAATTTGTCTAACTCGAACAAGAAGGCTGAAAAATATGGCGTAAATAAGCACTGCTAATAGTGGACAGTGATTCAAAGAATAATGTAATTCAATCAATAGGTTGATGATCCGATGACACTCTCACAATATATTTCATGAGAATTCAGGGATACCTTTTACATGCACCCGATAATCAGCGATGCAGAATCTGCCGCTAAAATGAAAAATTTCCCCGAATGCTGGAGTTTTTTCGAAAAATTTCCCCGGCTGGAAAAATAAAAAAAGAAGGCTTCTCTGTTTAGCATGTATGCTCGAAAAAATTAATTTTTCCCCAAATTTTTTTCTATATCCCGTAACTTATCAAAAATTTCCCCATCCGACCGTTACCGTCCGCGAGTAGATTCTGCATCTCTACCAATAATGTTACAAGACAGCGTGACCAGCTAGCAGCCCCTTCAAATCAGAAGGGTCATGAAACTGCAAAAAATGTTTCTTTTGCTACCACGTTCAAAATTACATCATTGGATGCAGTTTACGAATATCAACTACAGTTTTAGCAGAAATGAAATTTTCAAGATAAAAATTTAAATTTAAAATTTTGAAATTTTCTAATTTCAATTTCCTGGCCTAGAATTTTCTTGGAAAGTGTTAAAACTATACCATTCGGTAGAGAATTATTTCTACAGAATGGCTTATTTTTTCGGACATTCTAGAGATATTTAACAAATTAAAAGAGATTCCTAGAAAATCAATTTTTGAAAGCAGTTTTTCAGTTAGGTAAATAAGTTCAGGAACTTTATTCTGAATTTATTTTAATAGAAAGCGTGTAAAACTATTTATCCATATTGAAATTAGTTTTTTTTCTAAGCAACTTCCTCATTCAGTTTAACCTTCTGCGATGAAACATGAAAAACAGATGCAATTCTGTGTGCCATTTAATAGTATGTAGACGTCTCCTCATAAGTATCTTTGCTCATCACTACAATCCCTTGTCCTTTATTCGCCTGTTTAGTCACAATATCTCGATGTCTTCTTAAATCATCCAACGCTCTATATTCCACCCTTGTGGGGTGAAAAGCATAAAAAGGTTGCACTATCGAATTGGTGTATCAAATCCTTTCTCAGCTTAAGAAGAGGATGTATTTCCGAAACATGTTTTACCTCGTCTACTAATTTCATTTTCACCTTAATATGTTTTGTTCGAATATATTTGGACCATACTGTAGGACCCTTAATTCAGTTCGCCCATGATGCAGATGTTCTACGCTAAAACCATGTTCTGATACACGAAGCGGTTCATTCGAATTGACAGGAGAAAACTGTCAGTGCTTCTCGACATCACTCCGATTTTAAGTGCGGAAAATGTGACTAAGACTTCCTTACGTGATTAGTCAAAATTCGCGATGTTTAGTTTTCCTCTAACATTATCGATGATCATGTATTGCAACAGAGCACATATAGAAATGGGACAGTTCCAGTTTCTAAAGTTCTTGCGTTTGCTGACTTTCTCCCTGGTTCAGGTAGATCCTCCACTTGTAGTTCTCTATAGGAAAAATGTTTTTTTTGCACAAAACGTACGTGCAGCCATATTGCACAGTGAGTAGAACTGACATTGTGTATCACAGTTAGGCATGAGCGGTAATTTACCGTCGGTAATGATAAAATATTTTTTTACCGAAGTTTACCGCGGTAAAACTTTTGAAGTTTTTACCGTAAGTCCGTGACGGTAATAAAATTATTTTAATGGAAATTCTATTTCCATTTTAACCACTACTATTTGGAATTTTTGACTATTTACGTCAGAACATGAAATCAAATATAGTGGAATATTCAATGTGTCTCAAAGCTAAACTATGAAGTGAAGTAGCTGTAAATCGAAACTTTTTGAATGTTTCTCATTTATCTTAAATTGTTCTTTTCCATGAATTAATCTACATACATGATCAAACACTCTGTAGTCATCAGCAACTGTTAAAAATATTTTTACCGAAGTTTAGTTGCGGTAAAAGTTTCAGATATTTTATCGGTTTGAAATTACGGCGGTAAAAATCTAAAGTTGTTACCGATACATCGGTAATGGTAAGACATTTTTCCCATTACCACTCACCACTCATCTCAAATCACAATCAAATCGAAACAGAATTGTCCATTTTAGAAAAACTACTTACAAATATAGCAGCAACTGTAATTCTAACAGAAAACAGAAAACAAATATACTCGATTGTTGAACTGTGCACTCTAAACCCATTTGATTGATGCTTATTGTTTGTTCTTACCCTATACTTTCATCTCGAACATTTTTCTCTCTCTTTATTTCCCGACGGATCGAAATGCGCAATGTATGTATGCGCATTTTTTCTCCTGTTCTCTTTTTTTCTTCCATACACATACATTAGTTCTATTCTAGTCCTCAAATTGTTATTAGATGAGTACATATATATATATAGCGATGCGTGTGTGTATGTTTTACACGATGCCCCATATTTTTTCTTTTTTTTCTTTCATCGGCTCACAATGTTGGTGCTGTATCTTATTACGCGTATATGTTCTAGATGAACAAGAGTGTATGTGTGTGTGTTAGTTAGTGTGTATAACAAACAATTTGATGAGAAGACTAGGCAGCATTAATTCATATATGATCAGAGATATAACGTACGATTCTTTTAAGATTTGGTAAGTTATTTGAAGATCAGTCAAGGACAATTTTCTTAGAAGAAAACAAAAGAAATTAGCTATATATTTGTATAGTTATAATTGTAACTATCATAGACTTTATAGCATTTCCAAGTACTTTCCTAAATAATATATTGTTATGTGATTGAAATCTGTATCGTTATGTGTTTCTTCGAAAGCATATGCTTTACTACTATCTCTTCCACATTTAAACAATTTCTAACTCACGAATGCATTACTGTTTCGATTAATCTTATTAATCCGTCTGTTAAACCGTTATTGTCTTTCATTGATTCTTCTTGTTCTTCATTCAATTATTTATATTACGCGTCATTTATCGCATGTTACATGAAGTACGCGGTTACATGAGTACGCGGTCAACGTGCGCTTTTGCGAGTACATATTGAAAAGAGAAAAACAATGGAGCGATAGAGTTTTTGAATGCTGGAGGGCTCTCACTTTAGAATTATCAGAATAACGATAGAATAATTTGTTCTCTCATAACAACAAGAACAAAACTAAAACTAAATTGCAAACTATGAGTTGTCAAAGTTACACTTTCTCATCTGACCAACTACTTAAAGAAAAAAGTATACTTCTATCGGAAAAGGAATGTGCTCTCATGCGCTCGTTTTTTCTAAACTTATTATGTATTTATTTTTGACATAAGTTTTCTAGATACTCTATACACTTTATTATTGTTTGTTATTGTAAACTTTTATCTGCACACAAATGACGTTGTGTTGTGTTGAAACGGGTGAAACTGCTTGTCAAGCAGTGCCTTGTTTGCCGTCTGTCATCAAATCTGATATAACAACCGCAAAAGATGATAATAACAATAACATTCAACAACCAATGAAGGAAGAGGACGATGTGAGACGTATGATGTCTGCTCTTGGTCTGAAATTAAAGCAGCAACAGAAACTAGTAGAAACAGCATCAGGATCACTGATTCCAATCATATTATCTATCACTCCATTCAAACATCGAACTCGAAAAAAAATCTCAAATGAAAAGAGTGCAGTTCTACCTCTATGCCTATTGAGTTTGAAAAAATATGACGCTCGAGAACTAATTCACTATGTTGTAACGGAATTGAAAACGATATCTATTGTGAAACATTATGAGAAGTATTGCGTTACCGACAATTTAAAAATGCCCAAGAAACAAACAAAACGATCGGTAGAGAAGACTTCAAAGAGATCTGTTTGTCCCTCACAACGTCAAGGTGTTTTAAGACCTAAACATAAAAAAGGTAAGGGATAAAAGTTTTTTTTTAGGAACTAAAATTGTGCGATATTGGCGATTGTTGATGCCATCTGACATTATAAAGCGTGTTCTCAGACACAATTGATTATTTTGATATTTTTGAAGAATATAAGTGCTCTACCAGTAACATTATTACACAATAAAAAATACTCATAGAGATTTCTTTTTGGAAAAATAAGAGCTCCTAGAGAAATCCTTTTGAATCAAAAAATCTATTTTTGTTTAGATGTTGGATTGAATAAACGTCTACAAAATTGTGCCGTTTCAGAAAATATCACATTAAGAAAATGTGAGGTTGTTTTACAAAGATTAAAACGAAGTTATGTTGAATATTTAATGCAAACTCGACAGGTAAAACGAACATTTTGAAAAATTTAGATTGAAATACTAACACTATACTTCTATAATGTTTGTTCCTTCTACTGTTTTTGAAAATTATGGTTGGAATAGATCATAACGAACTCTTCATTCACTTTTGAGAAGTAGATATGAGGCGGAACTGTAGTCAGATCAGAACGAACTAGAAGAACTCTAGAAAGACTAGAAATGGGCTCAGATTCTCTCATTAAAATTCTATCAATTCAGTTTGGTGCGAAAGAGCTAAAATAAGACACTGATTTGTCTGAAAAGACGCTCTTTGATTTTCTTTCTTGTCCCGCTTGGAAAAACATCTCTTCGAAGAGCTATTTTATGACAGGTGGAATGCTCATTACATATATTTATCTTATATATGTTCTTTTCTAATCTATAGAGAAGAAAAACAGAAAAGAAAAGACATGTGTCTCGAATTTTTTGCTTGTTCTTTCCTAGTTTCAGCAAAACACATATTTTCTCGTCCTAATTTCGACACTCCAATACACATACGTTTTTATATGCATACTTGTTCATTCTTCAGTGAATAAAAGCGGTGAAAACATGTGCTCTTTTCAAAACAAACTACGTGATTTGATTCATTATAGTGTTCTATCAATATTGTTCTGTTTTCTTCCCTGTAGACTAGAAAAGAACACATATAAGATAAATATGTGATATATTCATTCTCATCTAACTAAACACAATGTTCAATAGAGCCTTAGGGTATAGCACATTATCTTCTTCTTTTTAATGTCGCATACAGAAATCTGAATGTGAACATAGTGCGTATCTTGCCGTATGTGAGATAAAGAAGATACGCTGTACGCTAATGCTCTATTATATACAAGCAAGTTCTTATTTTATTATGGTATACTTGTGAAGATCATTTCTCTGCCTACTTCTTATGGTTTATATCTACCACTGTTTATTTTTGGTCTTAATTCTAAGCTTTTGAACGTTTTTTCGAAACTTAATACAGCTTGCCTCAATGTGACTGAGGGTTTCAGTTGTACACGAAGTGCCTTTGTGTTGATGTGTTAATATATCTTGTTGCTCAAAATCAGTTTTGAGATCGTGTGTGGGCGGGAAAGTGCGAAAACTGATTCTTCTCATGTATTCTCATGTGGTCTGTCAAATGTAATTGAAATTAAAATTTCAAAGTTCTTCGTTTAAAAATCAAGAACTAGATATTAATTTTTTTAAAATTTCGAGTAAAATGAGTACATCTTTGCTGGTATGTGCTACTGGTAACTAGAAATATGAAACTCGGATTAAGCCCCAGGTCGCATAATGCATTAACAAGGTTCGGGAAACTGTATTTGAGAAAGACAACATGAAATATTTCAGTTAGTAATATTTTATCATACAAAAAGAGACTATTTTCAATAGCGGCCCGAGTATCCTACTGGGGTGGTTCTTTCGAGAACGTCCCACATTTACATCGACGTTGTCCGAATTGTTCGAGAGTAACAGGACTAGTACAACTCGGCCTCCTGATGACGAATATCATGTTTAAAAATTTTTAAAACAATGATATGATGGCCCTCTAGACCTGTGGAAATCTCATTTCCCAGCAGAACCGTCCTTTTGTGGGCATTTTCACCATTTTTAGTGAAGCACTTTCATGAGCTCGTACAGTCAGATTAGCTTCTATATGTGCAGAGCTACAAAATCACTAGCAGACAAAAAGTTCCAAAATGTTAACCACGTTCTCCTGAAAATATTTAAAAACATCGTGTTTTCCGAAAAGTAGGCCGTTTTTGTAAACCAGTTTTCCCCATAAAATCATGTCAACAAAAGACATCAAGATGTGCATTCGACGCCCCTTTTCACGTTCTATCTGGTGAAGTGGTTCGCATTGCGGATGGTAGAACAAAAGCAGCTTTTAAAGCCGATTTCCCTCGTTTTCCAAAGTTTGAGTAAGTTCTGCACCATTCTACGGGATTACAGGACGTGGGATGACATATATTTCGCATGTACTCGACGGGGGCTATTAGAAAAACAGGTGTTCGTCTTCGGCCAAGTGCTTTTAGGGAAAATACTACAGGATTTTCGTCCATTTCGAAAGTGCAAAGAGGAAGTAATAATATAATACTCTATTTTTCTTCACTAAATTCTACGTTCTTTATGCAGTTTTGGTTTAGCAAAATAAAACGGTGAATGAATATTTTCTGAGTACTCACTGAGTAACAATACTCAAAAATTGTTCGTAGTACTAATATGAGTATTCATGGACGAATTATGAGTAAAGTCGTACTCATCGTATGAGTACTTTCACTAGGGATAACTGCTCTGAATCTTACGATTTTAATACAGCTGTCGGGATAAATCAGTATTGCCCGCGTTAGAGCCAATGAAAACGCAGCAATGAATGCTATGGAGATAAACAGTCGAACCGTTGAAATTTCCTGGAAAAAGTTGGGATTTTTGTTAAACGTACAAAGGTTTCAGAGCTTAAAAATGACGACTACATAGTTCGTCTCTCTACAGCGGCCCGTCGGCTCAGACGGGAGAGTGTTCCTATAAGCTGCGTTAAACCATAAGCATGAAATTTCATTTTAACAGTTGAATAATGTGACAATAGAGGAACCAAAATTTTGGTCGGATTCATCTTCAAGTGTATAGCAAATCAGCTAATTTTGATCAGCGATAGACTGAAAAATGATTGTTCTGTCTATTGCATAGTTCTGTTGATATTTAGGTCGAATATAAAGCGAAATCATCTTCAGCTATGATGAAATCGAAAACAGCAATAACTTCAACAACACCCGTGAAACAGTCTCGATCTAGAAAGAAGAAATGTCTTTCCAAACGATCATCTTTGCCTCTGAATGACAATAAACCACAATCATCATCATCAACAGTTAAACGAAAATCGCTCACACCTACATTACCATCCATATTGAACACTTCCAACACGGGAAAACGTCAAAAAATGATCAATATCGACCACAGTAACTGTATTATTGAGAATGTAACTAAAGCGCCGTGGTTACAAACAGTACATCCATCCAAATTCGATAGTATCTGTTTAAAATGTTTTGTCTGTGACATTCGAAAGGTCCTCCCATTTGATAATCTAGCGTACGATCTCCATTCACATTGGCAACTTCATAAAAAGTCTAATATTACATACAATATTTACAATACAGTTATTGAGAAGAAACGATTTCGGATGATAGAATATTTCATACCACCACAACGACCTGCAATGGAAGGGAGACCATTGAATATTTTTATTTCTCATGGCCAAGAGTTAAAAAACCAAGAAGACCAAGTGGTGATTATTAGTGACGATGATGATGAGGATATTATATGTCTCAATTAAGAACTTTGTCTGTGCTGAGTACACTTGGTGATGTAACAACATCACAATTCCACTGAAGAGAAGATGTTGATGTAGTTTTCACTTGGCTACATGTTTTCGATCTGTATAATAGTGGGGAAACTGGAGTTATTCTTAACTTTTTCTTTCAAAACGATTAGCTTTTGAGAGACCTGTGGTCCAGTAATCTGGTCTTTATGTTAGTCAAAATTGATCATGTTATGTTCATGATGATATTATTTTTTACTTCGCATGTTTATATTTCATCGGATCACAGCCCTGTTGTAACTGGTAAAATTTGTTGCATGGCCATCGTTCATAAATTAATAAATACTTATAGATTCATTATATGTACAGAGTGAAATATCAAACATTACGATTTATTATAATCAAATTTTCTTGGTTACTAAATAAATGCACATACCATTGTATATATTTTATCTTTATGCTTATCAATTCTACGTTTAAGTCATATAAATGTCAATTATACCATTATAACCCTTAAAATGAAGTGTTCTCTTACTGATCATACGGACATAAATTTGTATAGAAAATCAGCACGCAGTTCGCAATCGGTTACAATATTTTCAATCGTATCATAGATCATGGTCAAGCAATGATGCTGCTACAGATATGATCGGTATCAAGTGGAAAATACTAATTATTACATTAAACAAAAGTCATCTCTAGTTTCCGAGAGATTCGTCGAGAACAAAATAATAAATGAAGGCCTTTAGAAAGTTGAAAATCAAGCAGAGTGGAGGAAAACAAAATTGTGATCATACTTTATTAGGAGAAAAACGAAAGTCTTTTTTCTGAAATATTTAATAAACAGGTTGGGTTTAACTTGTAAAATATCTTGGTTGTTCTTTTGAAAACGTATCACGTTCACATCGACTTTATACCAACAGTTCGGGAGTAATAGGGCTAGTACAATTCGAGCTCCTGATAACGCATATCACGTTTAAAAGATTTTAAAACAACAGCATCGTGACCCTCTAGGCCTATGGAGATGCCATTTTCAGCAGAACAGACCTTTTCTGGGCATTTTTATAATTTTTTAGCAGAACACTTTCATGAGCTGGCATCGTTAGATTACAATTTATGTATGCAGCGCTGCAAAATCTCTAACAGACAAAAAGTTCCAAAATGTTAAGCACGTTCTTAAGAGAAAAGTAGGCCTTTTTTGTAAACCATGCTTCTCTCAAAATCAGGTCAACATACGACAGCAAGATTCGGCACATCTTTTCAAGCTCTATCTGATGAAGCGGTTCTCAATGAGGTGAGTCTACGTCAAGAACGTGCGAAACATATGTCATCCCATGTACTACAGTCCTGTGAAATGGTGCAACTCAACTTGCAACTCAAACTTTAAAAAACGAGGAAGACCGTTTTAAAAGTTATCTTTTTCTATGGTTTTTAATCTCAATCAGAATCGTTTCATCAGATAGAGCTTGAAAAGATGTGTAGAATAGGTATCTTGAATAGTAGATAGTGCGAGCTACAGAACTACGCAGCCGCGAGCTTTAAAACATTTTGTAATAGATGGCGTAGCACTAAGAGTCCAAATCCAGAAAACCCTGAATCTGAGCATCCATTTGAAGCAAAGTCGGCCGTGAGATTTTCAAGTATATTTCTAAATAGATTATATGCCATAGGATATTTGGTAAAAGTCCGACGGCCTCCGGTGCTTTCGTTTTCAATACCGACGACCTGGAAGTTGCAATTTTGCTCAGAAATGACCATTTTGGGTGATTCTGAGGAATGATTTTCTCCGTGGAAACCGGGCCATTCTGAAGCCCCCTAGCGTACTGTTGGAGTACACGAAGTGTACTATTATAGTCCATTCTGCGGTTTGTGGGTTTCGCTACAATGGCTTCGGGTGCACCGAGTTCTAGAGGCTTTCTCAATCAGTGTATTTCTGCTATAGTATATTAAAATTTCGTAAAAATGAGTTTGATATGCAACTTTTCCCAAGGAATTTTCACAACAACAAGTTAATTCTGCTATTAATGCGAGCCTATGTGCGAATTCCATCTAGGGTACCTCTAGTAGGTTCTCTGCCGATGGATTTCCATACGCCCGTCAGTAGTTTTTGTATAACTCAAGAACGAAAGGCGATGGAAACTTGTGTTTTTTGTGATTCGATAGTCATATAAATATTACAACTAAAATAAAGTTGAAAATATTTCTCAATGATGGTTTTCTAGGAGGTCTCTAGAAACCGTTTCGTAGCTTTGAACGATAAAGTAGCAATATATTATTTTTTTTATGAGTAAATAGCTTAAAGTATTCTAAAGTGGGAGCCAAAAGAGACTTTGATTTTGAGTAGTTTGGCCCTGCAAGTTACGACTTTTTGACAACCTATAACCTAACCTATTAACCTTTTCACAATCTAAACCTAACCTATAGGTTAGATTAGAGTTAATCTGCAGGACTGTAGTTTAGACGTGGTTACTATTTATGATAAAGTCTCAAGGTTAACATTTAATGGCAGGACTTTGTGTAAACTCATAATATTTATTTATTCAGCACAAAATTATTTATTTATTACAAAATTTTAAAAATATATTATTCTAACGTTTCGAGTCACCAACTCATCATCATCATCAGAGTTCGTACTCATCATCAGTAATTTGTGTTGAATAAATAAATATTATGAGTAAAGAGTTTAGTTTATTTAATTTTATATATTTTAGTATATTAAACGCTTCTCAGAAAAAAGACATACGGGAAGTTGACGATATTTGCATATTCCTTTGTAATCAGACTATAGTAGATAATGCTTCTCACTGTGCATACTCGCACTGCCTTAATGGATAACAACTAAGACTGATTTAGTACACTTTAGTTACTTTGGTTGAAAAAGGTGTTGATTGGGATACTACAGTAGAAGTTAAACATATTATTCTTGTGGTTATGGAATCAAATCATTCACGAATAGTTTGCAATTGTTTTCTCTCGTAAAAAAGAGGCGAGTCATTCTAGATAAAGGTAGTATCTGACTATGAGCAATATTTTATCCAACAAGCCCTACTGGTGTCCTCATGGGAAATAAAGCACCGAGTTTGGTACGAACTAGCATAGTTATTGTTTGATATTCTTTCACAAGTATCAACACAAAAGAAAACAAGAATGGTTTTTTTAAGTGAAGCAAGTTATTTAATAAAATTTTTAAACAAATTCTCATAGAGGTGAAGGCGATTGTAAGTATGTTGGAAGGAATCGAAGAAGATATTATTATTAGAGTTTTTTGATAGAATAAAATAAATACATGTAGTTGTGGGAAATTCTAAGTATATTGTTCATTATTGTCGTAATTCCGGTGTTTTATCCTGATTAATATTTTTTGGTGTCATAAGATAATAATTTTGTTGTGTATTATGATGTTCTTGAAAATAACCATTTTGTTCCAATGTATCATGGACATGTTTCAATGAATATTTAATAGTATTTTCCGATGATTGATTAGGAAACAATTTTTCTTTATCGGATTTCATTCGATCGGATAAATTTTTGTCTACACCATTACGTTCAATAATTGTTTCTTGATCATTGGTACCAGCTGATATTCGAAACGCCATTAATATTGTTAATCACGTACTATCGTTATAAATGAATGAAAAAATAAAAATAAATGTCATTGCTTTAAATACAAAATAAAAAGGAGAAACTGATAAGAAAAGTAAACTCTTCGTATAATAAAACTGTAAGTGAGCATTTTATGATTATGATATTGACCTTTTTTAACTACAGGTATTCATCAGTAACTTTAAGCACATGAATAATGACAAAATATAAAACTAATCTAGGTGCAAATATATCATGATTACGCCCACTCCCTCATTATACATACTTATGGTCATAGGCTAATGTTTTTCGTGATACAATTTTTACAACAAATATTTAAGAAAGAAAAAGTTCATCTAACTTATACTTTTTATAACAGAAAAATATTTTTTTCTCCGTAGTGACTTACAAACAATAATAACATTGACAGTCAGATGAATCGACCAACAGCACTAAATATTTTGATCGCCTGTATAACTCAATAAATGTTATTTGATTATTCACAGAACATATTCATTTAGTTACTTTTAGTAGGGGTGTTGGGTTTCTAAAAAGAAAAGTATGTTGTTCTAAACTTTATATGATCTGATTGAGAAAAAAAAATCAGTGTAGCTCCATTAGCTGTTCTTTGAAAAAGTAGGCGTAGTTAAATAATAAAAAAAAAGAGACAAGAGTTCACTAATTGTTAAGATAACAGCAGTGAAATGGAAATACAAACGTATGCAAAATCCAGAAGTAGGCAAATCCAAGTCCGGACTTGAAGGTTTCTTTGATGGACTCAGACTTGAGGCTCAGCGGGCTTGGACTCGACTTAGACTTGGAGATTTTTTATCAGGTCCGTTTGAAATCCAAGGAGTTAAAAATCTTTTACATTCAACAGCGGATGGAGTATAATCTTATACCTAACTTATTAATCTTTTTTTCTCAAACACGCATCAATGTATGGATAACCTTATTTATCCGTCATATATGATTATGACGTACTGTATAGTGAAGAAATATGAAAAACATCGACTCGAGCTTGCGCACTTGACTTGAACTTGCCAAAAAGATTTCTGTTAGACTTGGACTTGACCTGGATATGAACGGACTTGCTAACCTCTGGCGGAATGAGATGAATGCTAAAAAGTGAAAATCTTAAAATCGCACACATCAGACGCGAGAGCGACATAAGTCGGGCACCACACCCATTTTAATATATTTGTTAAGGTGGTGGCTATTTCGCGGCGAATGTGAGAAAACCATCCTACTAAACAACGTTGGAAGAAATTGGTGCTCAATCAGCATACATATTTATGGATACACTCTCCTATTTTGCTCTGCAAATATAATCACTCCAGATTTTGATTAAACTAATACTTCAATGTTGTTCTTTCCTCGCTCAAAAGTAAACAAATAATTCCATAGCGACTCTATTATTTTAAAAAAACAATCGTTAAAATTAAAATCAAATCAACAAAAATCTAAAGTATCATATTAAACTGAATAATTTCAGATATAGACATACAACAATCCCAAGCTAGGGCTCGCAGTTCGGCCTAGGACACGTGATGCGACTGAAAGTATTCGCTGACTGATTGCGAAAATGATCATTATTTTTCGCAGAAGAGTTAAAGAGTTCGCACATCACTTGTATTAGGAAATCACAAAGGTTTTGAATGAATGAATGAACCAACGTCTTATGACCCAGATATACTATTGAGTAATTCATTATATCTTATTTACTCTCTAAGTAAAGCATACTCTACTGATGTGGCTTCTGTGGCAGATTGCTTTACTTTGTTTTCATGCAAAAATGCTTTACTTCACTATGCAAATAAAGTAGAAAAAAAGTTGCTGTTCGAACACGTTTGTATGAGAAACGTTTCGATGAACGAACTATCGGACGGATACATATCTATGAGTCAGAGAACGCTGAAAATATTATTTTTCATGCTCTTTATTATACATTATTAGGGTAACTAGTTTAACTGATCAGAATTGGTAGGCATATATTGATAATTATAAATATAGTATTATTCTATAAACGGTAGAAAGTGAACAGCACTTAGTGTGCTCAGCGAAACGTACATACGTCAAAGTGTCAAATGCTCATTCAATAGAGTGATTTATACTGTCATTGAACCGTTGATATCGGATATAAAAAAATAAGATAATCTTTTTGCTATTAAAAGAACTCTTTAAGCTATACGTTTTTGTATTGTTCGTTTAATCTTTGCCTACTATCTGTGAAAGAATCGACTGTTAATTGTCAATTCCTCGATTATTGTTTAGATTTTCATACACATGTTTGAGAACATGCGGAATGTTTCATGAGAAAAAACTCATAAGTATTGTAATTATTTTTAATCTTGAGAAATTTCAACTAAAAAAAATGATAAGCAGTTTAATGTAGAAATAAACTATTCCAGATATAGGGCAGAAAAGACGATTTTGTCTACGACCGATTCTGATCGAATTTACTGGCCCTTAATAACTGAAATTATTGGGTATTTAATGACTTAGCAAATATCCCGATATGTCATGGAGATGATTATAAGATAATACACTAAGATAAAAGTCATTTTTGTTCTAATTGGGTTCTATGTCTAATTAGAAAAACTCGATTCAGATAAAGTGAGGTTTTTCGCTTAAGATATCTCCCACCTGTCAAAAATTTATCTCAATAACTAGGAGTCTGATTTCAACATATTTTCGCCAAATGTTGACCACGGCAAAGTACGGTGATAAAATCTTTTGTCTTTATCTATTTCCATTCGCGAGTTGTTGTTGCAAACAAAGTCGAAATGGGACTTTTCTTCAAAATCGTTTATTCATCGTTAAAATTATTGTAAATTATTAAATTTTTAGTAAGTTCAGTAAGTTACTGACCGATCCGAACCATTAAGCGTGGGTAAACTAGCCCACATAACTAACGATTTCTTAACCAGCAATTTATACTTTAGTTTTTCTCGTAACATAATTTCAAAGGTATTATCTGTAATTACATGTCCAGTATTAGAGTAATTTTTCCCGATAGGTGATTTTGCAACATTAACTGAGTTATTTTTTAAACAGCCGAGTTGCTTAACAGTTTCTTCAATTATACTTTGTTCAAGGGTTGTGGTTGTTCGAAGTTTAGGTAGACAGCCTTTTTTTTTCGACGCGCAAACGTGTACTGGTAAGGCTAAAAAGGCGATATTGGTGATCAGCTTCAAATTCTGCATCAAATCATATATAAAGCTAAAAATAAAATAGTACTTGATTTTTGAATTACGCACGCCTTACCACTGTACGTGTATTCTGAGAAAGTAAAATCAAGTTTGTGGAGTGAAGGAATCCCTAGGAAAGGTTCTGGTGGTTAGTATAGTATAATTCTCATCTCCTTATCAATATCTATACAATCTTCTTCATCATCTCTTATCTATTCTTTTTGATTAAGAAAGAAAATAAAACATAGAATTTACCTTTAACCGAATTCTCCATTTAGTCTTCTATTATAGTGTGTGTGCCTCGATTAAAAAAGGAAAAGACACAACTATCTATATATATAAAGAAGAAAGTTTGTTTGTTCTCTATGCATTCAGTCCCTGTGAGAGCTAAAGCAGCCAAAATTTGCATGGCACACCCTTGGGCCCAGGGGAAGGTCAAGGGGGGGGGGGGGGCGGCGAGCCCGAAGGCGCGGGCAGGGTTCCCGCTCCGCGGGGGTGTTTCGACAGCGGAGGGATGGAGAGGGAAAATGGTGTGGAGGAGTATTATTTGCCCCTCCTACTCGAAAATTTTGGTTTTCTTCAATATAAATAGCTGATGTTTTTCTGTGTGTATATATAATTCTTAGTTAACTAATAAAGTGGTTAGATATTCAAGAACCAGAATGGTTGATAATGCTCTGTACAATGGTAGAGAAGAAGGAAGAAAACGCAATGGGCTTCCTTGCCTTCGCGATGTCCATCAATAAGGCTCAAGGACAATCACTTAAGGTTGCTGGTATTAATCTAGAGCT